CCCAAATGATAGTCATCTGAATGAGGGAAATAAGCTTTTTTTCTGGATATCCAAGCCATAATACCATCAGAAGCCCGCATATTCATCCACTAAGGAGGGTCTAGTTAAATCCCATAACTTTCTAACCTCAACACATTAGAGGAGATGGTTGGGGATTCACTCTCTTGCAAGCACACTTTCAAGCCTGTAGAAATATGTCAAGATGTCTATGATGCCCCATACGTTGTGACATGACTTACCTAACACAGAGACTAAAGTAAAAGTACAGTAAGAAAGAGGAACATAGAGAGTTTAACATGGTTCAGTACTTTGCCTACAACACAGAGCCACCTGCAAAATTTTCACTATCTAGAACCACTTATACAAGCTAGGAATTTTCCTTTATATGGTGAAAGGACTCATTAAAGAAGCTTTACATGATGATAAGAAAATATTTTCTCCCTTTTTGTGTGAAGTGCTCATTAATTAAGGAGAAGCCTTTTGAAAAATATCATAAGCAATCTATCTTAAAATGAGAATTCATGTTTCAAAGTCAATCCATTTTTAATTGTTAAGAAAAAATACTTGTTCTCTCTTGGTGCAAAGAGAATTCTTTAGTTAGGAAGAGTTTATACTTAATCACAATGCACTGTACCAATGACACCCAAATACAAACCTAGTTACAAGTAGAAGCTCAATAGAGTCAATAAACTCATCTATACAGAAATGACCTTCTGATTAAAACATGAAATAATGCTGCCAATCTTTTCAATATCATAAATACTTTTCCACTTAATATTGTTGAAATCATAACTATTGCAGATTAAATTTTCAGTTTTATTTAATCCGCTGAAAGCTTCACCTCAATAGGCCAACAAATATATATACATAATTTCATTTCCTCCATACAAGTAAAATCTAATGAATATGTTCAATCCGTACTAACTCTTAGCTTGAGGAACTCACCTCAGACTGGCTTTGCATAGACGCAAGCAAATCTTTAACTGAAGGGTCATTTGGATCAACCCCAGGAAGCTGCAAGTAGTGAGTTTTAAACTTAGCAAATCCTTAGCTTATTTTCCCTAGTGAAGAAAATCAAAATAGAAATTGCAGTTTGCATACTGATGCAAGGATGGATGATACAAAAGATTGGTCAGCTAACAATTTGCTCATGTCTGTCTGCTGACTTGTTGAATCTTTTGTACTATCCTGCACAGATAATTGAAGAGCTGCAAGCATTTGGATTAGAGAATTAAATCAGCATATGGGGCTTGAGTAAATAATTTGATCACGGCTAAGCAGAGTTTAGTTCCTGTGAATTTACACAATTTTAAACTTAAAATGGTACAGCAATTTTAGATTTATGGGCAACTCTAAGTGATACAATAGAACCCATATGAGATTTCAAGGAAGTCCTAATCACCACATCCAACAAGCATAAGAAGTATTACTTATTGTTTATCAGATAGAAAACAAGAACTTACCAAGTGCCAGATCTGGATCATCTACAGCTGCCTCTGACATATCTGTATCCCGGAGATCGTGACCAGTGGAAGGGTCATCCATTGACATTGCAAGGGCCTGTTGTAGTAGAGCATTCTCTTCATCCTATTACCAGTATAAGGCCAATTTCCCAGCAGGTCAATTGCATGCAAGAAAGCGATATTGAGCAACTAAAGTAAAGCTAAATAGAGCACCATTCTTTTTTTTGAAATACATACTGGACCAACATTCCCATCAAAATAAGCAAATATATTTTAGAAGACAAAGCTCAGCACCCTACTTTGAATTTAATGGTACATGGACAGCTTCAGAATAACAAAATAACAGTATCAGCCTGATTTACTTTATGAGGTGAAATTAATGTAAAGTTCCAAATCACAAGATGATACTTACTGTTAGATCATTTTTCTTGTTCTCAGCCTCAGGAGGAGTATTTTCAGTCATAGTTGCATCTTGTGAGCCTGATGGATGTTCCCCTCCTTTTTCCTGTTTAGCAGCCTCCTCTGCAGCCTTCTTAGCAGCCGCTTCTTGTCTAGCTCTCTCCTCTTCCATTGAAACCCTAAGTGCAAGGGCTAATTCAGGATCAAGGTTAGGATCCACACCAAATTCAAAGCCAGAGACACCACCAGCTGCAGCTGCTGCTGCTGCTGCGGCAAAACCACTTCCTCCTTCCCCATCACCAGTGAAGATAGGTGTACTGCCAGGAAGAAGAAATACAAGAACTTCAGTATGGAAGCTACAGTTAATTAAAACTTACCAAGCAGATCTGAGGAAGAAAACGAAAACTATTTACCTTATAAGAACATCAGAAAGAGCATTTGGACCTGAAGGAACATGAACTATGTGACTACTATCATTATTGTTTACAGTAGCAAGAAGTGCTTCCAGCTTCTCTGGCTTCCCATCATCTTCTTCACCAAAATCAACAATATCAAGTGCTACACTGTTCTTCTTCAACTTCTTCCCAATCAACTCTAGTACCTTCTTATCATGTTTCACTGGGCTGAGGAGCACATAATATATAATGTTAACAACACTGCAGGAAGATTATGAAAGCCATAAACAAGATATCTAAAATAACTTACCTTCCAGCAAAGACAATAATCCTCTGTTGCTGCTTTTTATTTTGGCGATGCTTGAGAGCCAATTGAGCCACCTGGATCCCAGCTGCTAGGTTCATCTCCCCACCTATTTCTAAACCTGAATTTAGAGATACAACTGATTCAGTGCTTTTTACATTGTCAAGCAAACTGAATAGCCGAACAATGATGATAATCACTATAAGAGGAAAGTTCCTTCTTAAACTTGAGATGGTCAAAAATCAAGAAATCACATACATTAAGGATACGATAATCAACACCAAAGTTACCAGACATAGTAAAATTATAACCCGCTTGCAATATCATCCTTCGAAAGATCTCTAATTCTAACAGCTGGGGGAAAGTACATAACACTTCTCTGTTGTCAAATTTTCATAGTCCACATTAGACTGCAGAAGGTAGCATGGCTCTAAAAATAAAAACTTTAACATCATATAAGTATAGGGAACCACATTACCTCCCTTCTTCCCTCCCAAGTTCCTCTCAAAAAATATACATAAAATAAAGATAAAAAAGACTAGACAAATATTTGACTTTAGTTTAAACAAGAGCAACTTATAAGCTATGGAGATGTTAAGTTTTTTGAAAAAAAAATACATGAGAAGAAATATTACTAGAACGAGGAGAAAAAGGCATACCAAACAAGGACAATAAATCATCTAAAACAACAAAATGAAGAGAAATGCACAGAAAAAGAAGAGCAAAGGAAGGAAAAACATCACAACAACATTGCAGACCAGCAATAGCCAAAGAGACAAAAAACCATGATTGGTCCATATAGAAACAACAAAAATTTTTGCACCATAGCTAAAATAAACTAACAAAAATAGCTCCTGTCAAGCACCCTAGCTTCCTCCTTCTGCCGGCGTCCTTGTGGAACATAGAAAGACAATACTGAAGGGAAGGGGAGGCAAAGCACATGAAACCAAAACTATCAAAAAGCCTAGAGCCCAGAAGAAAGCCATCAGGCCACCTCATAATGCCAAAAAGTAAATTGTGACCATGGGACAGCAACATAAAATAGACATCTGGAGGAAGGGGACAGTAACAGTTAGGTCCATGAATTTACAACGGATAAAGCTTCTGCAAAAAAACAGTCTTAAGAGAACTTTAATCTTTTTGGAACCCTAATCTTCCAAAATTCATTAGTGAAAGCCTCATTATAGCAACTAAGTAAATGGGTGAGGTGGGAGCCAAGGGACTCGCAGGTCCACAATTAGAGTAATCAAAGGTCCAAAATTTGCTATCAGGTTGTGAGAAACAATAAAAGGCTTAAGGAAGTTAAGCAAAGAGATTATATCGTTAAGATTCTAGAGGAAAAAGAAATCCCAAGGATGTGACCATCCAACTGATTGAGAAAGTGATGGATGGAAGCTTATGACACAAAGGACTATAATAAGGGAAAAGTTTAACAAGAGAGAGATCACCAATCCAAAGTTCTTCTCGGAGCAATATACTGAACCATCACCCACTTAATAAACGGGTAAGAGGGATGAAGAGGTCATATAGCCAGGAAAGGACTTCCCAGGGGCTCCTGTGAATTGAGTACTCTAATAGAGTGTTACCCATTCTTGTGCAATTCATACTTACTCTTAATCACTTTGTGCCACAAAGAACAAGATTCCGAAAGAAAACACCACGACCATTTAGCCAATAAAGACGGAACTTAAGTTATAAGATTTTTAATACCCATACTACCATCTTCTCTGCAAAGATAATTGACAACCCGTCAAGCCAAATGACCTCTCAAGGTCTCACCAGCCCAAGACCATAGAAAATTCCTCATGATCATTTCGAATTTTTCAACCACGAAGTAGGTATCAGAAACAAAATATAAAGCAATCCTAGGCAAGCAGATCTGGGTAAAGGTAACCTGCCACCTACAGAAAACAAATTGGTCTTCTAACAGACAAGCTTCCTAGAAACCTCTTCCACCACTGGAAGACTCAACCCGAGGGTTTCCCCCAAAAGGGACACCAAGATAGGTGATAAGTTAAGATAAAACATCCCGCTCAATCAATTCAACAAGCCTAGAGATGGCATCCTCCCCAATATTAATCCCCTAAAAGCCCACTTGTGCCAAGTTGGTGCATGACCTCGAAATATGGTCAAAAGGTTGAAAGTGAGCATATTGAAAACCCCAATTATTATCCTACAACATTGTATGTATCACTGCAAACTGCAAATGTGAAATCTCCATATTCCCGTTTCCAAGACACGAGCCTTTCATCAAAGTCCTCACATACCCGAATTAACATACAACTAAGAACATCCACCACAACCATGAAAAGAAAAGGGCGAAGCGGATCCCCCACCTTACCCAACTTTGCTCATGAATAGTATTAGGCTCACCAATGACAATGACCACATTGGACATCAAAGAGACACA